TTCCTTATTTCAGCCTCAGAGACCCTCACACCCAGCCCCTGGGATCTTTTTTGATGAGTCAGCCAGGAAGTAAAACAAAGAGGTATCCTTCCGCAAGTCCAGCCAAATGGCTTGCTTGCTTATTTACTTACTTACTTACTTATTTATTTATTGTCTTTCTTTGTCCCCATTTTCTCCCAACCCCTCTGCCTGGGAAGCCTCATTTTCTCTACATCCTAGATCTCTCTGAAGCATAGTTTTCCCTCAAGAGTGGTTTTTTTTTCAACCTCTTTTCCTCTTAAGTATAGTTTCCCAGTGGTTTGCTTTTCCTTCCTCTCCCACTCAGGATTCCATCTGTCAAAAATCTCAAACCCTTTAGCTTTCTTTCGTGTTGGTTACCAAAAAGGTAAGGAGCTAGAAGGTAGAGGAGGCTGATGCCTCCCACCACATGGGGGCGGGGAGGGGAAGCGCATGGTCTCTTCCTTCCTTAATATGCGATCTGTAGTTGGGAAAGATCTCCAGGCTCCTAAGACCCTCTGAGGGCCTCACGTATGTCACAGGTCTCTAGACATAAAGCTCTTTGGGAAAGACGTTTTGAGTAAAGCCCAGCTGTTCTATGCAGCTTTTGCTGCTTCCCTGATCTGTTGTTAAAATAGCCATGTTCCAGTAACAAGGACGCTTGTTCCGGCCAGGACAAAAAACTGCTGCCCTGGGCGGTTCTGACTCTGGGAAACGGTGAAGGCCGGGGCATGACCCCTATTTTGGAGCACGTCTGTAGTGTGACCCCAGTTTGGAGTGGGCCGCTCATGTGGCCTGACCCCAGTTTGAGCTTATTCTTGGCGTGACCCCAGTTCCCATCTTTTCTTTTCTTGTCTTTATCTCTTTACAAAAGTACACAAGGAACACCTGAGAGGGATACACCTTTCTACAATATGGGTAACTTGGTATCTATGCCTAAAACATCACCTTTAGCTGTACTATGAGAAAGAGAGACCATTTTTAAAAATTTTAAAAAGAAGCAAGATGATTTTTCTTTACAATTCCATATGAGGTCAATATAAGTTAAAAAGTAGAGAGACATGACCTCAGGGTGGTACCTTAAACTTTAATAAAATATTCCAGCTTGATCTAGTTTATAAAAAAAAAAAAAAAACAAAAATCCCATATGTTCAGGTTTCTATGGCCAAAATTACGTAGATCTTATACAATTTCTTACGCTCATGTGCCAGGAGGGCCAACTAAAACAAAGCCAGATTTAATAAAAGTTAAAGTCTTAAGTGCTCCAAACAAAACACCCCAGATACCCAGAGCACCAACCACGGAGCCAGCAGAGGCTGCAGAGCCCTGGAGAAAATCTAGTTCATCTCCTTCCTCTACTAGATTCTCACTCAGGGCCACTTCGCCATCCCACCTCCCTATCAACCTGTCTACCTCCTACTACCAAAAACTCCAGTCCCACTGGTGTAACACAAAGGGGCGCTTCCTACCATCCCAACGATTCAAAAGCCGGTACTTCCCACTTCAGAAAGTCCTGGGTGGGGAACAAGGTGTTGTAAGAATTCAGATCCCCTACTCTGTGAGTGATCTGGCCTGGAGCAAACAAAAATTCGGGCAGTTCTCAAAAGACCCAGACAGATTCATACGTAAATTTCAGACTTTGGTTATACCTTAAGATTTAACCTAGACAGGTCTTCATGTACTGCTTTCTATTGGCTACACTCCTTTAAAAAAAAAGAGCTTCTGAACAACTAATTTAAAGACAACAATATGTAATATAACAACCATTGGTGAATTCCTACCATCTTGTTTAGTGAAGCTCTGTATCATTTCTGACGGTTTTTTAAAATTTTTTTTTATTCTCTTTAATGGTTTGATCAGTCTTGCATTCTTACATCTGGTAATCTGAGCACCTTCGTTGAAGGTAACAATATGTAATATAACAACCACTGTTAGTTCCTATCATTTTGTTTTGAAACCCTGTATCATTTTTATTGTTTTTGCTTTTTTTTTTCTTTTTTTGTCTATGTTGTTGCTATGTTGTTATTGGGTTTTTTATTCTCTTTAAAATAAAATTTTAAAAAATTTAAATATATGGGCCACAAAACAGGCTAAGGCCAATAAATTGCAGGCTAAGTTTCAAAAATAATGGCAGAGGTGTGGATATAGTTTCAGTTGCCTAAAAGAGACCCTGACTGACAATGCTAAATTAGAAATGAAGGCCAAAAAAAAAAAAAGTGATGAAATGACTACTCGTTTAATTGATAAAATAAAGAAGTACATGAGTAAGTCAGTTATAAAAAGAATAGAAAACTTACTCAAGACAAAGAAAAAAATCCTGCTTTATTTCTAGAGTACTTACCTAAAACCTTCTGTAAATATACTAAAATTGAACTCAACTTACAGGCCAGACAAATTTTATTACAAACATTTTTATTAAAAACATGTCTTTGCCCTAGATATTCACAAAAAAAACCATCAAAAACAAGCTGTGCGTCCTCAGAGCCCTGTTAACAAACTTTTAAACTTGCCCTTCGGGGTCTTCAACAACAGAGACAAAACCGTGACAAGCACAATGGCCCAACAGACACAAAAACAGGCCCAACTTATTGGGTTGACATTAAGAAAACACACCCTGCCTCCTGCAAATGATCCAGAGCCTCCACCTAGGAAGAGAAAAAATGAAAGCCCATACGCTGCGACCGTTATAGAGAACTCAGACACTCACAAAACAGCTGCGGGAAGCTGGGCCCCTCTTCACCAGGAGATGCCCCCACTGTAAAGTGGGAAGACCCTGGAAGTAAGCGTGCCCTTTCCTTGCAAGGGGCGACAGGCTACCTACTCCTATGTCGGCTGCCCTAAAAATTAAAGGTGCCCCGGTCTCTCAAAGCCCCTTTCAACAAAGTAGGCATTACCCTAGACAAGCCTCAAGTAATTATTGATGTGACAGGTAAAAATATAAGTTTTATCTTACACACTGGGGCTTATAAACCTGCCTTACTCAAATCTTCCGAACTCCTTGAAGACCTGTATTGTGACTGGTGTGGATGGTATCCCCAGGACCAACTGTTTTACAATGCCTCTAACTTTTAGATTTAAAAACTTAATTTTCACTCAGGCTTTCCTAGTTTTGGCAAAATGTCCTACTCCATTATTAAAAAAAGATTTTTACATCTTTAGGGACAAGTCTTCATCTGGCATCACAGTATTTACCCCCGCCCTCTTTTTTTAGAACATTAGTATCAGGCCCACCAGATAATATATTTAGAGACATACCTAAAATTTTTTATCAGAGATAGACCCATAGATTTGAGATACTAAAATCCCAAAAAGGGCAATTCAGGTCCAACCTGTTGTCATTTCCTTGAAAGACCCAAATAGCTATCCTCACGGAAGACAACATCCTGCTCAACCAGAAGCCCAGCAGGGACTTCAGCCCCTGATTTCTTTCCTCTAGCATGGTCTTTAGTCTGTTGACATTCCCCATGCTATATCCCCATCCTTCCAATACTAAAACCAAATAAAAAATATCAACTAGGGCTGGGGATTTAGCTCAGCGGCAAAAGCGCCTGCCTGGCATGCGCAAGGTCGTGAGTTCGGTTCCCGGTACCGGAGAAAAACCAAAAAAAAAAAAAAAAAATCAACTAGTCCAAGGCTTACAAGCTATAATTCCACTCTATCCTATGGTTCCTATCCCATATACTTACTACTTTAACCCAAATACCAAGAAAAACTATATGGTGTGCTATCTTGCATATTAAAGATTCTTTCTCCTGCATCTCAGTACATTCTGATTCACAATATCTGTTTGCTTTTAAATAGACTGACCCTGATACTATAAAAGCTGCCCAATATATTTGGACAGTCCTTCCTCAGGGGTTCAGAGACAGCTCCCACTTATTTAAAAATGCTCTGGCAAAAAATTTGAAGTCTCTAACCTTAAAAAATGGGGCACTGCTCCAATATATAAATGATCATCTTATTTATAGCTTCATGAAGCTAGACTCTGACAAAAATACTGTTAGAGTTTTAAATTTCTTAGGGGTTACAAGATACTGTGTGTGCCCCCACAAGGCTGGGCTATCTCAACAAAGAGTTAGGTATTTTAAGACACACCTTAACCCCAAGGGAACAAACTCTTACACCAAAAAAAAAAAAAAAAGGAAAAGCTTGTCTAAAAGCTACAGTTTTTCTTAAAAGTACAATTCTAAATTCTCAAGTTTTTGGTCTCCTTTCTACTTAGTTGTATTTCTTTTATCCTACCTCACTTCGGTTAAATTCTAAACAATTCTGCCTTGTTTTTAAAATCTTATTCTCACTTCCATAAGCCATAGTGATAATCATTGGTTATTTCACAAGTTCTAGTAACCAGCAACAACAGAGAATCCTCTGGAGGGTGGGGGGTGGGGGGGATCAATTGAAGGTTTTTTAATCCTTATCTGTGGTTATATGTTATCATTCCTGTCTAATGTTATTTGTATCTTCTCTGTGTCTTGGTTTTTTCTTAATTTCTTTCCTAGTTTCTTTAGAAAATATTTTTTTCTTTTACTGATAATGTCTCCTGGGCTTTTTAAACTTTATCATTTTATTGATTTCGGATTTCATCTTTATTTATTAACAAGTTTTTTTAGTTTTTCTAAGTCTAGATTGCACACTGTATTACAATACATACAATGAATGATATATAAACATTCACCGTACAAACATGTGTAAGCAATAAAACAAAATATTGAAATATATACAGACATTTAGTGTGATATGATTTCATGAGCTGGACTTTCCTATACTCTCCCAGTTCTGATATGCAAGGCTTCTGATTTCTTCTGTTCCTAGAGAGTTTGTAGGTTCCTATCACACTCTGCTCCATAAATAAGCACAATTACTATGTATTAATCAAAGATGTTTGAGATCATTTAAGGAAATTTAAATGTTAATTATTCCAATTTAATTTTTACAACTATGTGTATGTATCAAATTATCACACTGTACCCCGTAAATTTGTACAATGAAAATGAATTTTTTAATGTGCTGAAATATTTGTGCTTCCTTTTAATCCAGATCTGAAGCATCTTTAAATTTCCAATTGTATATTAATAGGGAGATTTTCTGTAACTTCCTCTTTGTGTGTGTGCGTGTGTGATTGACATCAGGGCCTGGCGCGCGCTGGGCAAGCGCTCTGCCGGTGCGCTCCATCGCAACCTTCCTTATTCTGTTTGGTGGATGATGTAGTCCTCTGCATCATCTCTGCCTTCCAAGTCGCGCTGACCTTTATGTTGTGACTTGGTTCTATGCGTGAACGGAAAGCGGAGGCCATCTGTTCTCAGTTCAGATGCACAAAGGTGCATTTCACGCACGGCATTGAAGGTAACTGCTGATGGTCTGAACACTGCCGCCGGCCGTGCCGCTTCCCCGTCTCAGCTGGAGCTGCTGCAGGCGCTCACTCATATCCACTTCCCAAATCCACGGCGGGAAGACCCGCGCCCGCACTGCCGCAGATGGACCCTGGCAGCGGGGGCGTCAGGGTCTAGGGGGACTACACCACGAGCAGTGCGCACGAGAAGCTGGTGTGATAATGCTGGCCTCTCACACGAGTGGGTGCGCCCAGGCCGGTCCCCTCGCGGGTTCCTCCTCCCTGCTGTGCGCACCTGGGGGGCATATCCGCCGATCCCCAGGCGTGCGGGGAGCGGCCAAGAGATAAGGAAAGTGGCCAGCGTGGTGATAAGGAGCCAACGCCCCAGGGCGCTTGCACACACGCGCCCGGCTGAAGGGAACGGTAACCGCAGGCGCGGCTGGCACAGGCCCCAGGCAGCCACCGCGGCTCCGGGCCCCCGCGGCGTGCGAGGCGAGCTCCGCCGGAGCGCAGC